TGGGGGTCCCCACCTTAACGTATCTTGGAGGGAGGAGGTGAGGAGGGCCTTGGCTGTTGCTCTCGCCCGCGCGGCCCGCGTCCCGCCACCTGCATCAGCGGTGTACGAGTCTCGTGTGAGGAAGGGTGTGTGCACTCCTCGTGTCCTCCGCCTGCGCTGGGGGGGAGGGGGGGGAGAGGGAGAGAGAGAGAGGGAGAGAGAGGGAGAGGGAGGGTGGGGGAGAGGGAGGAGAAGAGAGGAGAGCCCGCCGCCCACCCGATCGCGTTGCTGAAGTCGGCGCTGGAGACGCCGACGCTGCTAGAGAACGACGCCCCCTAACGCCACACGCAGAGTCTGGTCACCAGACTGGGCCGGGCGAGATGGGGGGAGATAGGGGGAGATAGGGGGAGATGTGGGGGAGATGGTCACGAGGGCGACGCGGCGAGGCGCCTCAGGGCCGCGCCCCTCCTCCACGGCTGGGAGATGTGGGGAGATTGTGGGGAGATGTGGGGAGATGTGGGGAGATGTGGGGAGATGTGGCGAGATGTGGCGAGATCTGGCGAGATCTGGCGAGATCTGGCGCCCTGACCTCCAGATTTGCATCCGCGAGCCACGCGCCGTTCAGGTTCGCCTTTGGAGGACCGCCCGAGATTCCCCGAGATTCCCCGAGATTCCCCGAGATTCCCCGAGATTCCCCGAGATTCCCCGAGATTCCCCGAGATGCCCCGAGATGCCCCGAGATGCCCCGAGATGCCCCGAGATGCCCCGAGATGCCCCGAGATGCCCCGAGATCACTCGAGCTCGCCTTGTTGAGGACCGCCCCGCGCAAGTCGGCATGGATCAGAAAGACACCCTGAGGTAGAGGTCAGGTCAGGTCAGGTCAGGTCAGGTCAGGTCCCGGTGGCAGGGAGATGCGGATTGTGCTCGCGCAGTCAGCCAGGTCAGGTCGGGTCAGGGAAACTTCTCATCACACACACGAGGTGAAGCCGAGGTGAAGCCGAGAGATACGGCCGAGGTGAAGCCGAGGTGAAGCCGAGGTGCGGCCGAGGTGCGGCCGTGTGCGGAAGAGCCTGCAGCGAAGCGCGGCGGAAGTTGGCGCCCTGGAGGTTCGCCTGCAGGGGGAGAGAAGGCGAGATCTGGCGAGATCTGGCGAGATCTGGCGAGATATGGCGAGATCTGGCGAGATCTGGCGAGATCTGGAGAGATCTGGCGAGATCTGGAGAGGGGGGGGGGAGAGCTTTGGAGAGGTGCTCGCCTGCGAGAAGTCGGCGCCGTCGAGGTTCCCGTCCTGAGGG